TTGAATGATGGCTTGCTATAAGATTTGTGAGAGCCCCCCCAATAAAATGATGATTACAAATAAAGATATTATCTCAGAAACCCAGTATAGGGTCACTCTGAGAGTCGGAATTAACTCAACGGCAGCAGAGTTTTTGTAGTACTACTTAAGAAGGAGGCCTAGGGGAATGTATTCCATTAAGACTGCAGGCAAGAAAACCTTAGGGGGAAGATCTATTGTCAAGGCGGTCACTGTGAGTCAAAATTCAACGACAGCAGCCAAGAACACCACGCTGCTTAAAAGTGGACAGTGGCGAATCAGTGGTAGATTCTCGCCTTCCATGCAGAGACCAGGTTCACTTATCAGACCATGTACTCCAGGACGCACAGCCACGACCCACCTGTCAGTGGAGGTGTGTGTGTTGTTACGATGTTAAAGAAGTTTCAGTCATGCTTCCAGGCTAAGCTCGACTAGAAAGAAAGGCCTGGCAATCAGTCAACAGATTGATTGTATAGATCACAGTGCTGAATCCCGTTGGGCACTGAATCACCATGATCCCAAGGCTACCTCTGCAACGTAACATTTAAGCTGTTATCTATACTGAGCGAGAAGATGGGAAAGAAAGGTATTTGTATGAGCTTTCTATGCTCTATAGTCCACGCAAAGAGCCGTGACACTTCAAAGATGAACACCAGGTGTTTTTAAATGTGACTTAGGTGGGAAGGTGCTACAGTAGTAAAATGGCATTAAATTCTAAAGGGGTTTATGTTTGGCATCTTTGACCTTAAAGTCTTCGACTCAGGAGCCATATCCAAAGATACGAACAATTCATATATAACCTTTTCCTAGGCTCTGAACGAATATATGTTCACTTTTGTCGTTATTAAATATAAGTGCTGCTGCCAGTCCATGTCATTAAGGAGGGCTTCCCCAAACTAAAGACTTAGAGTTCTAAGGATAAGCATAGATTTACACTGCTAAAATGAATCACTGGATAAATTAAATCCAAGACATCCATAGGCCCTGCGCCACAATGAACTTTTTCTACTCCCTCTCTCCCATGTCATTATGCAGGGAAAGCCACCTGTGATGTCAATGCGTCAGGCTTTGCTGAACTGCTGCTGCTGCTCTGAAGGAACACAGCTGGGGCGCACATAGTTTGTAAAAGCAGATTCACTAGCAACTCCTCGCCTTTGCTTCTTTCCTCCCATTTGTTCATCCCCACCTCCTCTGTCATTCTCTCTCCCTCCTCCACCTGATTCTGCTTACAGCCCTAGGAATGTACAGCAAATGATCCTCAGAGGTTTGCACGGAGACAGTCCAGAAAGAACACCCTGCATGCACATGCGCACGCATGTGCGCGCGCGCGCACACACACACACACACACACTCCTCCCCCTCTGGCTCTCCAGCACCTGCATGACTCTTGCATAACAAACTGTTGCACCTCTCTTTAACTATTTTACTCACATGCACATACATGGTAAATACATAAAGGCATGAAGATTTTCAAAGACTTTGTATAATGGGTTTTTAAATAAATAAAAGAGTTCTTCCTAGGCGCATAGCATATTTGTTTATATAAGTTTCAGTGAAATATATTTTATAAAGGGAAACAAATCTGAAAATTAATAGTGAGAAAATAATCTCTCGACACTACTACAGAGCGCTTCCTTGTCCTTAGTCTACTCGTTCCCAGACTGTTCTAGCCACCTGTGAGAACACATAACCGTGTTTCACCTGTCACCCGATTCCCAGGACACATTTAACTCCACTGCCAGACCACAAGATGTATTCCTTTCTCACACTCCACTATTGACAAGCACAATGGGTTCACAGTTAAGAGGTTCTTTCTTTAGTGTAGGATCAGAACTACCCATATGACCATGGTAATTTTTTACTGCTATCAGAACAATGAAGAAAAATGGCCAAGGGATACACTCCCTAAACAAACATAAGATTTCCATTTTTATAACACATTGTTTGTTTTAACATAGCATAGACATCATTTCACTTTCTTCTCCCATACAATCTACTATCGAGCCTTGAACAAATGCACACCAAATACTTCCCACTTACGGGTTATAGCCTATCTAAAAGTCTACATTTACAACAATAGTAAAAACTCTACTATTCGACTAGCATGTACATTAACAATGTACTCCTGGCTGTAACAAATGCTGAGGGCAGAGAATGGGGCTGTGGTGGTTAGGGTTACACGTATGTCAACTTGTCTGGGCCGTGTGATTTGGCAGTGATAGAGTGATATAGACATCCTCTATTTTGTGAGCTGATGTCATCATCTTCCATTTTAAAATCATCACCTTTTCACAAATAAATGTGGTCCTTAGAAACTAAGCATGTTGGTAAGTGAGGAATGGTGTATCGGATGTCCAATATGGGTATTAAATTCCTCAAACCAAAAAAACAAACTCACTGCCATCAAGGCGATTCTGACTCGTGGCGACCCTACAGGACCAAGCAGAGCTGCCCCTGTGGAACTGTAACTCTTCAAGGGGGTAGAAAGCACCAGCTGTGCCCTCGGAGACAGCAGGTCATTTTGAACTGCTAACCTTGTTGTTAGCTGTGTAAGCACAGCCACTACATCACCAGGGCTCCTATTAAATTCCTAGAGTTCAAACTAAGACACTAGGGAATAAGATAAAACTCACAACTAAAGAATAACGTTTAAAGTAATTATATAGGTAATTCAAAACACTTCAGTTAACAGGCAACACTAGGGACTTTTCGATGATCAATCCCAGGAGTACAATGTAGCAATTTCTTATTTCCTTCCACTGCTAATCGTAAATTTAAGCCACACAATGGGGAGGTTCACTAACTACCACTAAACCATGGAAAACCAGATGTTTACAAGGTTTATCAATGACAATTCTCAACATATACTTACAAGAATAACTAATTTTCCCCTGGAGAAGATTATTATTCTTGGTCTCATAACCTGAAATTATCAACTTAGCGTAATAGCAAATACTGAAAGCGGAAACTGTTAGACAAGTGAATTACATACAAACGAATTCAGCCAGGCCAAAATACCAACCGTGTAAGTGAAAGCAAGAAAGCTCTACCCATGAAAGACACAGGTTTCCTTTTGGACAAATAACCCATTCTTTCCAGCTCAGTTGCTTAACATTATCCACAAGTGCTGGAACGGAGCCACAACGCTTCCTTTTTGACTCTCAAGCAGGCCAATGCCATTTCTAATCACAACCAACACATAACCAAACATACAGGGCAAAAAGGGTTTTAATTTCTAACCAATAGCTCTCATTTATCTAAAAGATCATTTGATATGGCGATATCCCAAGAAAACAATGGATTTGGGACAATTCCTTGGGTGTACATTATAAAAGGACGGACCCCCTCCCTCCCCACCCCACCCCACCCGCATATAAATCAAGTCAGGTGAAAAGAAAACAATACAGAGACAAGAAACATGCAATTCTTCATCAGAGATGCAGAACGTCTAACAGTTCATCTCCATGCCCTTCCTTCTGCCTGGGCAGACTTACCATAGCCATCATGTCTAAACGAAGAAGGGTGTTCTCCCAAAATGGCTTGTCTCTGGCGACCCTTTCCTCTATCTGACACAAAAGTAGAAACAAGGTTTTAACAATTTTGACCCAAGGACATAACAGTTCTCACATGGGGAGCACCCCTTTCAAAACATCCATTACAGTTCATAAGAGAAATGTGATTGCTGGTTAACTTTAAACATCTATTCATTTCCAACTTAAATACACACAACACAAGTTTAGGGAGATAATTCTCTCTAACAAATTCCACTTAACTTGAAAATAGCTTTTTTGGCCAAAGCCAAATACAAACACACTTTCAAATTTTCAGGGAAGAATGGGTACGTTTCAGAAAGGGACTGTACACAATGCTAGAGGTTTGACACTGTACAGAGGTTTTACCAATGCATGTCTTTAAAACAAGCTGTAAGTGCAGTACTTTTGAAAGACGGTACCTGAATCATACTATTAGCTTCAACAGCAACACATTTTCAAAGTGGGCTTCTTTCAAGAAGTTTCAGCATAAGCCAACAACAACCTGTATTACATGGTTTCACAATCAGTAAACACAGAGTACTTTATATGTATATACACATATTTACAAACACCTACAGACTCAAGAGAAGAAAATGTGCATATCACTGGTCCATACCATATCACGGATTGGTCATTATCTACAGACCTTAACATCAGGCAGGATTGGGAGCAACCTTCCCTCCCCGCCAAGGTTTAAATATGCCAAGATAAGGCTAAGCAAGGGGGCTACATTATTGGATGAGAGTACTACAATACTCCTTTCTAAAGGATATTTTTATTCTAGCTGTGTTTTCAGGGAAGGCAGGCCAATTTCCCCAAATCTAATTTAACACATCAATAACAAAATTTCTGGTAGGTTTCTACAATGGCACTTCCTATGTTTGGTTGGTAAATTTGAAAAGTCACTGCATAATTTGTTTAGAAAGATTGCTGATCAAATTACAGTGCCCCAAGTAAGGTTTGTTTGCTCGCTTGTTTTCACATATGCCAAGACTCTGGTCCTTCTAACAGATGAAAATTCAGAGAGGGCGACTTTCCGTATATCTATCCTAAGTCACCTGAACAAATGAGGCTGATGGGAGACGAGAAAAGACTTTAATTTTCACTTTGATCTAATTACCCATTACAAGTTACTACAGAACGGAAAGGGCACTAGCAGGCCGTCTAGTTCAACTTCTAGTCAGTGGATCAACTCGCTCTACTCCTTCCGACCAGCTGGGAGCATCCAGTCTCTGCTTAGCCTACACCAGTGACAAGAAGCTCACTCCCTCCCCCGACATTTTCCAACAGTCTGAAAGCATGAGAAGACTGATATGGAAACCGAACCTTTGTCTATATTCTAGTCCATCTTGGGGCCTCATAGTTATTTAATCTTTCTCACCAAATCCTTTCAACTATTTGGAACGTTACTATGGTTCCCCACCCCAGCCTACTCCTCTCCAAAGGCCTTTCTTCTTCAAACTATGCCCAGTTCCTCTAAATTTTACTCCTCCTCAATAAATCCAGTCTGCTAATCCAGCCCGTTGTTATTCCTCTGTTTACGTAAGCCCCCAAAACACGAACTACAATTCTTTATCTGCCCGAGAAATAAACCAAAACCACGTAATGTCTTCACAGCTCAGCAAACAGCGCGCCATGCAGCAGAAAGCACTGGACTGCGAACAAGAAGATTCCTATTTAATCACAAATTGGCTGTATCATCACAGGAAGGCACAATCTTCCTCATCAAATGAAGGTGTTAAGAACAGAATGTCCCCAAGGGCTCTTACAGGCAGGTGTTACCCTTCTCCGGTCACAGGAAACCAAAGCAGAGAGGGCAGGGGTCCCTCACTGGGTATACTGGTTTCTCAAGAGCAGTTCACAATCTTTCTACCTCTAACATCTGATGGAGGCAGAGCTTCTCCTCAGGAAGATGCCCACCACGCAAGTTCTGCTCAACATGCCTGAAGGGGTTCCCTAGAGTCTAGGTTAAAGATTCTTTGCACGAAAACTGAAGCAGGCCAGAAAAGGATTTTTCTTTTTTAATGAAGCTTTGTTTTGCAAATGGTTCTTGTCGTGTGGGGGAAGGGCGATAAGAAAATTTATGAGGGTCTTCAGTGGGGGAGAGCAGCTGAACAGTTTCAGTATCTTCAATCAACTGGAAAGCAAGCGTCGATCGCTACAAACACAAAGCTGTAAACATCTACAGCATCGCCGGTCACAAATATCTATCTATACGCAATTAAAAACCAAGATTTTGTCTTCCTTGAAAGCAAGCTAATTATCTGTTTTACCTCCTTTAATCATGTATCACTATTTAAACATCTGCCTGACATATTTCCGAATTCATATTCTTTGTATGAAAAACAAAGGAGCCCGGTGGTACGATGGGTCACACAATGGGCTGCTCACAGCAAGCTCGGCAGTTTAAACCACGGTGAGTTTAAACCAGGTGAGTTACCGCCTCAGAAACTCAAAAGGGCACTTCGACTCTGTCCTACAGGGTCACTCTGAATCAGAATTGACTCAGTTGCTTTGAGTCTTAGTTTGATTTTCTATATGAAAAATGAAACCGGCTTTACGCAAATATTGAATATTAGAATAAAAAATGTACATAACGAATGTTTTAAGGAGCCCTGGGTGATAACTAAAAGTTGGTGGTTCGAGTCCACCCAGAAGTTCCAGGAGAGAAAAGACCCAAGAGGGAAAATAACCTACAAGTGTGAAGATTACAGCCTAAACACCCTATGGGCTATTGACTCCAACATACGTGAGAGCTGGGAGTCAAAACCTGCTCAAATGCTCCCAACAGCAACAGGTATGTTAAAAAGGACATTCAGCGAAATGTAATTAAAACTCACTTTCTTAAAGGAATATACACCACCACCACCACCACCCCCCAAAATACTATGCCAAACCTGCATTATAAAACACACACACACAATTGCAACCTCAAGCGTAAGGCAAGCTGACTCCCTGGGAATCAGCATTAGAGGAGCGAGCCAGTCATCCAAATGTCCGTCATATTTGAACACACAGATAAAGGACAATGGCACTATCTTTTGGCTTTGTCACAGTATACACACTACAGAGTCCCCAGTACCCAAGATCGTTTAGGTGCCATACAAATTTTTCTAGATTATTGCATTTTTTTAGAGACATACACTCATCCTGGTGAGTTTTTCCAACATGTGATTTAAGATTGATATTGTAGTTGCAAAGTAGCCAATACTGCAGCCCCCTTGTTTTTACAAGATCCACATTTTAACGTGTAAATTCCAGAATTACTACACAGTTAATTGAACAATTTTATCAAAGCTAGTCTCATGAAATTTAGCATTAATAGGTTATAAATAAAAATGCATTTCAAATGAAATGCTCTTGCTTTCAGATGTTTCAAGTTTCAATATAGTCTACCTTGAACAGACATGGTACTTCAAAACCTACATTTGAAATGTCAGTTTTTCTAGTTACACAAATTAACAGGAGAGATAACTTTAATTTTCACAAAAAGTGAAATGTATAAAACAGCCACTTTACAAAAATCAAACCACACAGAAAAACGTTTTAACATATCAGGCAATTTTCATAACTATGTTCGAATTTCTGTCCAATGTTCACAATTGAGGAATAAGAACCAAGAAAATAAACTTAAGGACAGCAAGTGTGCGCCTTTCTAGTTGTCTTAAATCAACTATATCTGTGTGGATTGGTTAAGCACCATTAATTCCCAAAGCCTATAGATAAATTGGCCCTGGTTCTTTGCCAATTAACAATTGGAATCGAAGCTGCAAACAATGACAGCAATGGGCATTCAGATTTACAACATTGTAGAGAAAATCTAGTATTCATGAAAAGTCTTAAGTTCTACAACTGAATCTTTAAGGGAAACCACACCAAGAGATACACATCCAACATGAATAAGTGGGCACAGTCTACCATGGTGTTCATCCCACGCAAGTCTGAAGTACTGGTAAGTGTCCTCCTCTTAAAACGTGGGGTGGTGGTGCATGCAGTATGCAGTCAAGGTGAATTGCAAGTCTGAGTTTTTCAGAGGGCTTTTTGTAGATGCCGATGTTGTGCATGATGAAGTGTAGAGTCAGCCTGCTGGAGTCCTCTATCCTTCTTAATGCCTTGTCCAGCTTGGGGGAAAAGTCCTTTCCATAGAGAAGCAGTGTGCAAGTTTGAAGTTTGTAAGGAATATTCTGAATCAGTTTCCTCTCCTCCAAAGAGAGAGAGCTGCTTGGAGAAATGCAAGTCCTTGAACTGCGGGCGTGCCTGCATGTGTGGGCTCCTTGTTGAACTACATATAAATGGCTCAGTACAAACCAGTAGGGGGCGCTAATGTTCAAGGTTATTTTCCAGCATTACAGGGTCTTTGGCAACAAAAGCATTCATCAACAAGGTTTTCATTTCCAATAACTAGGTCATCTCAGGAAAAAGGCATCTAAACTGCATGTTAAAATTTTTCAGCAGATGTAAGTATACTCTAAAATGAATAACAGGCCTACCTCGTCTTCCCAAATATGGTTTAGTGTAGTCCCAACTGTCATTGTCATTCCTAATAACATTGAGACGAGTTGGCTGTCAAGATCAAAAAGAAGGCAAGTTCAAATTAAAGACCCACAGCATAGAGCGCTCTTTTGTGAAATGCTGGAAAGAGTGCTTACCCTGGCATATTCAATTTTCAACGTGCAACAGCCAGCATATATATCTGCTCCATTGAGCGCTGCTTTAGCTTTCTGTGCACAAAGCACTGATTCAAACATAAGAGCTATTAAGGAAATGTGGCTTAAAGTGTCCAGTATTCAATAATTATCTTAACCTGAAAAAGATTAAGAACTGAAAATAAACAAATGCTTCTTCCACTTCGGGGAATGTTTTACTAAAGATGAATTTTAGGAGAAATTTGAAGATCATGAGTCCCGAATGAAACATCATACACCCAAACTGAAAAATGGAGTCCAGTTCAATTCCCAAAGGGAATTTGTAGTAAGAAATGCCACTCTTTCAGTAGGAGGGACATTACCAAGAATCAAACATGCAAAATTTTTATAGCTATTTCTGAGATATTTAAAGATATTTTGAGATATTTATAGATATTTCTAAGGGTACTTTATGATCATTTAATTAGCTTTATTTTATTAACTTAAAAATTATTTAGTACATGATTATAAAATATATAGCTCAAATTACAAATACAAATCCTTGCCAGAAGCAAGCAAGTTTGATGTAGCTCTCTCTTTTGCTAGGCATGCACACACACTACGCTTTTCTATGCCCACACAGAGGTTAGTGTGTCCTTTTATTAAAGATGGTGTTATATGATGAGTATTATTTTGCAACTTTTGTTTTTTATGTAATATATAGCAAATTGATATCCAGAAGTAATTTTTACACAAACCACGACCACTTAAAAATTTCAATAAGTAAGGGTCTATTGACTTTAAAGTGCTAGATCTCCCAAACTAATTATCTTAGGGAGATTCAGAAGAGTTCTTTAACCAAAGTTGGGAAGTGTTATTTTCCCCCCACTAAAACGGCAAGGCACCCTGTAAGGTGCAGCCCTAGTTTGTTTTTACAGGACTGTCCTTTTTAAAACCTAAGCCAGCCTAGCTATAACCACACACCTAGTGAGACTGGTTTTCCTGCAAGCCAGTAGGACAACCTGGTCCAGTGATGTAACACTGTTCATAAAGTTTATGTTGGACATCCTAAGGTGCGAAGTAGTGGCTCTAGTCTTAAAAACAGGCAAGTGGCCATGTAAGATACACTATTGGTCTCTATTCACCTGGAGCCAAAAAAGGGAAGTCAAAGCCAGCAGAAGAAACTAGTCTACAGGCCCAACAGCCCACACGAACCACCACCTCCCTCCCTCATCCTGAGACCAGAAGTACTAGGGGGTGCCCAGCTACCATGATGGACCATGTGACCAGGCAAACAATAGATGGTCCCACATAGAACGGGAGAAAAATGTAGACGAAAACTTGAATTCATAGAAAAGGCCAGACCTACGGAACCCTTACTTAGAAAGTAGAGGAACCCTTAAGACAGACTTTTGTCCTGATGCAACAAGCCCTATAAGTGTGCAACTGAAACTCTCAGACCTCCTTTCAGCTAAATAATAGATCGGCTCATAAAATAAACAGTATCACCAACGAGTACACAAGATCAAATGGCCAATATTGACCCTAGAGCAAAGATGTAAAGCAAGGGTGCAGGGGGGCAGGGAAACGAATTCATGGAAGCAGAACAACCCCAATGGAAACAATGGTAGAGGTGACGCATTATGAAAATATCACCACTATCAGGAAACAATGTGTTTAAAAACGGCCAAAGAGGAGCCTAATCTGCCATGTAAACTTTTACCAAAAACACTACTTAAAATACTCTTCAAAATACAAAACAGAAAAATAGATTTTTATGATGGGAGAAAAAAAGCCAGTATCAATTATCTATAGAGATGTGTACACAGGTAGAAATCATACCTATATGACTTAGCATGCATATATATCAATAAAATATTTATAAATAAAGGATATTCAACCATTGCTTGTATCCCATTCCTCTTGAATATAACAATACGTTGTACTTTTCCAACAGGGTTGCAGACAGTATATAAAACATCCTGTGAAGAGAAATAAAAAGATTTTTTCATAATACATATTTAGAAAAACATTGAAAGTATACAGATGTTTATTTTGTTTTCACTGAGAATGTGTCATTTCTATTGCTATTTAAACTGATTTTTAAATTGCTACAACTTTAATGTATTTAAAGTTATTTCCTTCCCTACATAATATATATCCACATTAAAGAAGCTGAAGTGAAACATTTGAGAAACATTTATACCTCGTTTATCTTTTAAATGAATCCATTTGTACTTTTTTAAGAGAGGCCTAACATAATCTCTAGTAATAAGCAGGAATCAACCTATGGTAGCTTTTTCCAAATATGACTCTGAAATATCTGATACTATAATCACCTAAATATAAAGATCCCTTAATATACTATTAAGGGATAGTAGTATCCAACTCTAGTATTCGGTTTTCAAGGGACAATAGCTATAGCGAAAGGATCCATGCACATCAATCCTACGACAGTTGTCACCCAACAAGATGCTTGTTTCATCTAAAATCAATCTAGACACCCACTTAGAACCAATTATTCAAGTTTCAAGAAATTTCCTGACTGTCTACAATCACATAGTTACACTGTTAGGCATGAACAGAAAGACAGCAATCAGAATGTCAGAGTGATGCTACTAGATTGATTATTGCTAGCTGCCACTGGTCAATCCAACTCTTGGAGACCCACCATTTAAATGAAATGAAGTGCTTCCCAGGCCTGTACCCTCCTCATGGTACATTGTGGATGGGATCTTTACGACCCATAGAGCACTCACTGGTTGATTTTTAAGAGCAGAATGCCTGGCCTTTTTTCCTACTCTGTCTTGGGCTAGAAGCTGCTGAAACTTGTTTAGCATCACAACACACAAATACAAATATCCTTTCTAACCAGAGCAGCAAATATTGTATATATGTTAGTGCTGTAAAATACGCCCATAAGTATTACCAAAAATGTGAATAAACTTATAAGGTCTAATTAAATCTAACAGGCATTTTTTTATGCTCTGCTTTAAGTTTATGATGCCCCAATATTGAATAACAACACTGGAAATCATACAATTGAGGCTTTACTGCTGTGATGAAGAGTCCTGGTAAAACAGTGGATTATGCATTGGGATGCTAACCATAGAGTCAGCTATTCAAATCCATCAGCTGCTCCACAGCAGAAAGATGAGACTATTGTGGTAAAATGTACAATCTCTGAATCCCAGTTCTACTCTGTGCTAAAGGGTGATTATGAATCAGAACTGACTCAATGGCAGTGGGTTTGGTATTTTATTCTGCTCGTCCATATTCAAATATAGTACCTGAATTTTTTTAACAGTGTCTTTTCCATCGGCTTATTAGGAAATGGTATGTGATTATGAAGAAAACTGATTCAGAACACAAAAGCATTTAAAACTTCTACTAATACTGTTTACAAGGATTTTTAAGTAAATTGAGAGATTCTTAAGTAACCAAAGACAGTTGTTTTTGTTTTGTTTTGTTAATCATTTTATTAGGGGCTCATACAACTCACCACAATCCATACACACATCAATTGTGTAAAGCGCATTTGTACATTCATTGCCCTCATCATTCTCAAAACATTTCCTCTCCACTTAAACCCCGCCCCATTAGGTCCTCATTTTCCCCTCCCTCCCTGCCTCCCCCATCCCTCATGAGCCCTTGATAGTTTATAAATTGGTATTTTGTCATATCTTGCCCTGTCCAACGTCTCCCTTCACCCACTTTTCTGTTGTCCATCCCCCAAGGAGGAGAGGTCACATATAATTCCTTGTAATCGGTTCCCTCTTTCCTATCCACTCTCCCTCTACCCTCCCTGTTTCGCCACTCACACCACTGGTCCTGTAGGACTCATCCGCCCTGGATTCCCTGTATTTTCATTTCCTATCTGTACCAGTGTACATCCTCTGGTCTAGCCAGACTTGCAAGGTAGAATTCAAGTCATGGAAGTGGGAGCGGGGAGGAAACATTTAGGAACTAGAGGAAAGTTGTATTTTTCATCATTGTTACATCGCGCCCTGACTGGCTCATCTCCCATTAGTAGGCCACTGGAGATCCCCTTGCAGAGGGGTATGGGGAGGAGATGAGCCAGTCAAAGACAGTTTTTTAACAACTCAAAAGAGCTTGTATGACAGGTGGCTCCTTCGGTTCTGTGGGATTCTGTCATGACCTAGTACATGTGCTGGCATCTGAATGAGAAAATTCTTGGGGCGTTTCCAACAAAGGGCTGTCTCGTCCCTTATTATCAGAAACAGAAATGATACTGATGCTAGCTAAGGAATAAAAATTTAATAAATGCACTTGTCAACACTGCTTCGGGCCTTATAACTTCAATTTCCACCATATTTTTCTTTGTTCATTAAACATGACACTTAACATTTTAATTTTAATACTTCTTTAAAAAGGAACAATTTTCAAATACCTAGATGGCAGTGCAGACAACTGCACAGGCAAATTCCAAACTCATTTTTTATCAGAAGTTTGTCATGCAACAATACATACCACTGTAATCGGATACAGAGGATTCTGTATGGAGAGTAAAAGGACTTTGTTGCCTCCTGATGGATCGTCAGTGTTTCCAGGCCGAGTGATCCTTTTGCTCGTAGAGTAGTTGAAAAAAGCCTGCTGGCCAGCAATATACACGGGCTCATCTGCAGCAAATGTCACACATTCTTTGGCACTATCTATGTTTTCAAATTCCACTAGAGCCTGCCGTTTAAATGGCATCATCATGACATAGCTAGAGAGAGGGGTTGGGAGAAAATAACCAAACACAAGAGGTTAGTGTTATTTGTTTTCAATTCCGTAAAATTAGCTTAATATTCACGACTTATATTCATTTCTTAAATCACCTAAATAAGCTGTGTTATGCGAAGTACATGGTACACACCACACCTCATTCTCTCCACGCACATAATCAATTCCCTGTTCTCAGCTGCCGACAGCATTCCCACTTGCTTCTTTAGGCTGCCAGTCCCAAGCAATCTGAGCAAGTACCAAGATTTAGAACCAGCACAGACTACACAGAAAGTGACAGCTAAGGTGCCTATGTAAACAGCAATAACACTCTACTAACTAGAAAACTGCCGATAATCTCAGTTTACATTACTAGAATAATCAAAATATAAACAGAAGCAATCAGAAATTGATAAAAATTCAAATGGCCTCCTTCAAAATATTTTAAATATTAAAGTGAAAGAATCCATGAAAATATATTGTCACTAAATCTGGTAAATACTGGTCATCTGAGGAGCCCCTGGGCAGGTAATTTACCTTTCATAGCATGTTCTTCTTTTTGTGGAACTTATTTTCAACACGAAATGAAAAATAACTGAAATGAACGGAGAGAAGTGGACCCACAGGTAGATCACAGATGGAGACAACACACCCTCTAGTCACTTGAACAGAAATGTGACCGATGTCCACAAACACAGGAACGTGGCTTGTGTAACAGAAGCCAAGCCCGTCAGCACATCAAACCAGTGACAGCCATTTCTTCAGGTAGGCATTCAGGGCCTACTGCTTGCTATACTGACAAATGGTACACTATCATTAACAAGCAGACCATCGTGGAGCCTGGAAAATTACTGACTTTCTTCAGAATCCCAGCTTCCTCATTTATAACACTTGGGTTGTTGACGTGATTAGAATTACACATGAAGTGCTCAACAGAGTGCACGGCACATTGAAGACTTTCAATAAAAGGTTAACTATGATAAAATTTTTATAAATTTGCCTTGTTTTCATATCCTCCAGATATATAAACAGAGTCTGGCGCATAGCAGATGCGCAATCAAAATGTGTTAAGCTGTGTGTGAAGCTTGTTAGCTCTCCCCATGCCACATCAATCAAAACTACAGTGCTGAATGCAGAGAAAGACACAGCCCGGGATTTAACCAACTATAAATGGCAGGAGAGAAACATTTCTTTGAGAGATGCAGACTTCTCCCAAAGTTCTGAAATCTTGCAGACTAGAATACAACATCTCCTTAGAATCAAGCCTGTGCTAATGAAATTCAGGAGTAAGAGTTTTTCCTCTCACAAATAGGGAGTCCCTGGGTGTTGCCAATAGTGAATGCACTCAGATACTAGTGAATAAGTTGGACATTCCATCGATGAAACATACAACTTTCCTCTAGTTCTTTAATGCTCCACCCCCCCCCCATATCATGACCCCAATTCTACCTTACAAATCCGGCTAGACCAAGCATGTACACGGGAACAAATAAGAACCCGCAACACAGGGAATCCAAGACAGATAAACCCTTCAGGACCAATAATGAGAGTAGAGCTACCAGGAGGGGAAGGGGCAGGTGGGGGGACAAAGGGGAGCCGATCCAATGATCAACAGATAACCTCCTCCAAGGGGGGTGCACATCAGAGTAGTGGGTGAAGAGAGAGAGTGGTCGGTGCAAGACATGAAAAATAATAATCATTTATAAATTATCAAGGGTTCATGAGGAAGGGAGAGTGCGGGAGGGGGTCAAATGAGCTGATACCAAGGTCTCAAGTAGAAAGAAATGTTTTGAAAATGACGATGGGAACATATGTACAAATGTGCTTGACACAATGGATGGATGGATGGATTGTGTTAAGACGATGGATGGATGGATTGTGGTATGTGCTGTAAGAGGCCCCAATAATATGAATAAAAAAAAACAAATTAAATAAAGAAAAAGTTGGGCATTCAAGTCCACCCACAGGTGGACTTGATCTGATCACTCCCATGGCACCTAGGTAAGCATCACCCTCTTGATACTCAAATGCTTCACACATATTTCTAGAAACTGAAGCATTTAATTGCCTCAGCAAATATGCTGACACTCCCCTGCTGCTCTATTTCAAGTTGGTCTGTGTCTCAGATGCCAACATCCAAACCAGAGTTGTCAAGAAAGAAGAAGAAAAAACAAAAAGGGATAAAGTCAACTCTACATTACCCATACTAAGAAGAGAACAACAACAGCTGGGCATATTCCAAAAATATTTTAGAAAGAATTAGAGAGCAGCTAATTTTAGCAGCAGATTTACTTTTCTAATTATGCTTTTTACTGAAGTCAAATTGCCTGAGCCGACACCAGCGGGGGGCCTAAGAACACATACAGCACCAAAGGAAGACATGCTGGGCCGCAGCACTGGCTGCCCAAGGTCTGCTAAGAACTGACGGCAACCCGGA